AGGCTTTGGTTTTTTCTCTTCCTTGTTGCTGCTCGGGAGTTGATGTCACTCAGGGAAAGGAAGATTGTAGATGCGTTGAGATTTGAGCCCACTTTGGAGCAACTCAGCAAGATTAAGAGAAGTGACGCTATAAAGGAAGTAAAGAAATTCTTGGAGAAGATGAGAACAGAGAATTGTTTTTGGGAGAATGACGGTTAGTAGTTGATGTACATAGCATGAATCTATAAGGAAGAATGTTGTGTGGTGTGTGGATCAAATATTTGGTCATGAGAATTTAGCGATGTTGTATCATGCATACTGATCAAGACGATGTTCAAGTACTTCAGCAGTTATATCAAAGTCTGATCTCACTTCTATTCACAGGGTGTATGAACCGCGGAGGTTCTGAAGAAAACATGTCTTTCTCCTTGAGCGAAAGTGCACGAGGGAGAGCGATGAGTGGCAGAGCATTTAAGACCGAATATTATATGTGTGAAATAGAACTAGAAAGAGCCAAAGAGTTAATCATGATTATCTTAGATACAACTAAGTCTAATTAGTTATGACTAAGTTTAGCTAATTATGACTAAGTTTATCAAGTTATGACTATGTTTAGCTATAAGTCTAAACTTGGCAAAATAACTAAAGAAGTTTCCAAAGATTTGAATGAGCATTTCTATTTTGTCTTGTACAAAAATCTAGATTCAAAGAGAAAATACTATTGATTTCATGTTTAGTTTTGATTGGTTTGACTAGGTTTTGGAAACTTCGTTGGTTAGACTAAGTCCAATATTGACTTAATGGCAAGTAGAGTTTCTAGAAGTTGGAAATACACAAATGACATGTTGTCATTTCAATCTAGGTTTTAGGTAAACATCTAAAAGGTTTTAGGAAACCAATGACATGTTGCAACATATTTGAGACTAGTCAAACTTACTCTGATTTATCTTTGTAAAAGTAAGATGTTTAAAAATTACAAATTGTTACTGATGTAAATTATCAAGTAGTATATATAGAGAAGTAGGGATATAATTCTCAAGCAAGTTTGGAGAATTCATGTGTAAAGATTTGTTTTATATATATAAGAAAAATAATTTACAACATATTGGAGTGTCGATGTATGTGTGAATTTGAGTGATGATTTGACGGATGAGAGGGTGTTTGGGATATGAGTATGAGAAGGAATCCTAGACTTCTAGAATCATGATGAGCTACCGCAAAGCTATCTGAAGTACACCTAAGTGAGACTTAACCCGAAGGTTGCAAGATCTGGGCCGAGCGGCAAGGCCATCGGAGCAGTCACAAGGGGTTGAATAGCCCCCTCACACTTTCTCCTCCACACGGCGCGCGCAGTAGGGTGATGCCGTTTAGAGAATCCACCGAGCTCCCCCCTGAAGTCGGACGTGTCAATTACGGTCATAAGAGCAACTGCGGTTGGTGGTAGACACCGTGATAGACAAGTAACCTTGGTCGGCATGATGGACACAATTTACTATTTGTGATCGACGTTGACGGCCATAATCTACGATGACGGTGATGGCGACTATGACGACTGACGATGACGGTCCATAGTGGCGGCGATGACGACGATGACAATCACAAGCGACGGTAACAGTTGCGGATGCAACAATGACGAATAATTGCAGGCGATGGTTAGTTGCGAATCACGATCACGGTCGCAAATGCGGACGACACGTGGCGTACAAACTGGGCAGATCAGTCAGGCCATCAAGAAGATTATGTCCAAAAACTTTTGTATGTCAAAAAGATTTTGTGTGTTTGAAGTAATATTTTGTTTGTACATATTCTATTCAACAGATTATTTGTCCGAATGTAGGCAAAATTGGATATAGGTGGAAAGCTCTAAATGCAATTAATGCATATGGATCATTTTCAAGAGCTATCAGATGACTCAAAAAGAGTAAATCATTGCGGAAGCTACTTTCTGAATCTAGATTATTTGACCGTCATGCTACAAATTGGAAGATTTTGATCTACAGGTACAAGATTATGTGCTTTGGCAAAAGTACAAGTTGGAGGCTTGGAGATATAATAGTCTGTAGATTCTTGTTAGTAATTTTATTTTTCAATGAGGTCTAAATCATTGAAAGAGGGGAAGAATTTATAAAACTCTTCGTATTGACAAGGGAAAAAATATCCACTCACGTATATGGTTGTGGGAAATTTGATCATTATGTGATTAATGATCAATAACGAGCATCAATACCGGTGAAGTTTCTTAGATCGTGATTGAGCTAGTCAAGATTGATGTTAGACTCTGATGATTGAACTAGTTAATCTTTACGGTAAACTCTGGTGATTAAGCTAATCAAGTTTGACGATAAACTTAATCTAGCTGATGTGTTGATCAAAGTTAATACTTTGGAGACATTGTGCAATTATGTAGGTTTTGCATGAGAAGCACTAGTAGAGTTTGCTAATATAGTATCTTCAGTAATCTTTTTATATAATTACTCTATCCTTTGATGATTACTGCTTAGTTCTTGTTAACCATATAGTTTAATAGGTTTCTTTCTAAAATTTCCTACGGAGTAATTATATAAGTTATGATGTTTTTGTTCCCTATATACTAGCAAGTTTTTAGTATTTCTTTATGTTTATGCTCTTTAATGTTATGACTACGTAATAGTTCTAGTTAACTTTCATGTAAAGAGTGGCATTGTGTTAAGTTTTTATCTAAAAGCTACCACAAAATAATTATATAGATATTGAATATACTGTTTTTTTAACACAAGTTAAAAAGTAAATAGTTGAGTTTAACTTTGATCAAGGTATAACCTTTGGTTCTAATTATTTATAGCTAGGTTGATCGTCGATGTATGATATATATACCTTGTGTATGTGTATTACTAATCACAATTGTCCAATACAATATCATGATGCTCTTTCCCTTAAGTCCTTGAAGTTGAATCAAATTATATGCTTTGTCTCTCTTGTGTTGGTGGTTTACTTTAATGTTTTGTCACTAATGATTTTGAGGTTTTACGTTTACAAATTTCAACTAGACGTGATCAATCAGAAGAGTTTAATCTAATGATAAGTAATCATCAACATCATAATGAGATGTCAACATCTCTCTACAATACTGCATGGCTATTAAATGTGTTGTTAACATTACATGCATTTTAATGTCCCAAATTATATAAATGTTATGTCAAAATAAAATACATATGTATTGATTTTTTTATACATTTTTTCTTTACCCAACGAGAAAAAGTGAATTTACAATAACAATGAAAATTATAGAATGCTACATGATGAAATTAATGTTTTCTAAGTTTTAATGTTATAGTTTAATTCTTATCCGGCGGAACCACTCTTATTGATTGATTATCATATTTTTTTTCATCAATTATTTTTGATGTTAAACTTAATGTGTATAGCTATTCGATACTCTAAGCCGTGGTCGGCCAGTTTTGGAGAATAGTTCAATTATGGTACAACATGTAACTAAATATCTCTGATAATATTTTACACGTGTCCATAGAAAGAGAATTGTTATGTATGGATTTGATTTTTCGAAGGACGGACGAAGGAGATCAGCAATAATATGGTTAATAAATAAAATGCCACCTGCAATTATATTGCTTTTGCCACATACTCTTTGCTACATTTCTCGGTGCCCCACATTATTTGCCTTCGGCTAAAAGGAAATAAAATTTCAGTATTTCCATTTGGTAACGCGCTATTCGCCACCGACTTTGATAAATACAGACAGGCGGTCATCTTCCGTCGTCGCAAATATAGGGAGTAAACTAATACGATCGCCAGTACTGTATAGTAAAAATAGTGGCAATGACGAGTTCGGTCGAGATTCATTTTTTGAACCAAATCGTTATTGCCAGCCTTGCTCACCAGGCAAGCAGGCTTCTTCGATGCGATGAAGGTACCGGCGGTTTCAGTTTCGGTCTTGTATGTTTTTGAGCATCATTTCGTTCCCTGCTAGAAGTTAGGCTTGGACCGTGGCCAAGCCTAACGCTTGGCCTTGGCTTGGGAAATTTTTTTTCTCTGGCAGCAGAATCAGACAGCGAGGTACGTGATTCAGTGTGAGAAAATTCGCGAGAAATTTTTTTCACAATTTGGTACAACTCAACTCGAGTCTCTGAACGTACAACCGTGGGTTCATTTGAGTCTTTACTTCCGCCATCGAGAATTTTTGGATATTAAGGCCCCTCCCCATCGACCACGAAGGGGTCGGACCGATGGTTAATCGGTTAACCGTCGGGCCCGGTTAAAAATATCGGTTAATCGTAACCGATACGGACCAATCCTGGACCGGTTAACCGGTCCACAAAATTTCCGGACCGGTTAACCGGACTGTGGCCAAGCCTACTAGAAGTTCTTGTGGAGAACAACGGACCTAATGAATTCGCGTCACGGGGAGCAGTTAGTGAAGAGTTGAAGGCTATCCGAGCCCCGAAGCTCGTGTCACCTTTCTCGCGGCGAAAGGCGGCAGCTGGGCAGGCCGCCGGAAGCCAGAACTGACCGGCCGCAGCCAGCCACGTGGGAATCGTTCCAAGCTTCTTGGTGATGGACAATTGTAGCACGCTACACCTTCAAGTTGATGAGCGACAGACATGACGGAGAGCCAATCCGCTGGGCGCATCGGTGACTCTGCCCGCCTATCCGAGGGTTCGCCTGGCGCGACTTCAGGATTCGTCGTCGTGACCTCCGCATCCGACGGCCAGAGGACCAACACTTTACCTCCACCTCTTCAGCTGGCCGCGACTTTCAAACTCTCCAATGACCGCGGACCGTTCGGTTGCAACAGCGGTTGTTAGCGGTGATTGTCGTAGTGAGTGTACAGAGCTGTAATTGACGTGGCCCGTGAGCGATTCTCCTGTTTGACGGGCGCCGCTGACGTGGGATAGGCTGTGCAGAGGTGGCCGAGCTGGACGACGCGAGAGTCCACGTCTGCTGGCGACAGGCGCCTCTCGAATATTAAGCTGCTCAGTTACTGCTTTGCCGATCGACTCTCGTCACTTCGCGTTTCTCCCCCCCCTCGAATCTCTACTTGAGCTCGAAGCTAAATTGCGTCGAAAGGGCTGTGCAGATTTCGCCCCACGAACGATCGGGACCTCGGGCAAGTGAACAATTGACGCTTGCTTATTCTTCTCAGCCGTCGGTTCAGTTGTGTTGCGAACTGCAGTCGAGCTCGGATTCGAAGTGGTTCTCGGCGGGCCGATGGCATGGACCCATCACCGCGCTGTCAATTGTCGAGTCCTGAAACGCTTAAGGGTCGGCCGAGGCGCGATAATTCCTGACGGTCTGAGAAGGCTCTCAGTCCACGGCAATTCGCCGCACCAGCAACCTGCGAGTGAAGCTCGCGCTGGAAATGCTCAGGTGGCGGAGAGCTCTGCTGCCCCTCCTCGAGACAAGAGACCCGAAGTCTTCCTCGGGAAGGCTGCTTCGAACTGCATACGGGCAGGGGCAGCTGCAGCGAGGGGCCTCCGTGGAGTTTCTCCTCCTCGCGCCGCATTCGTGCACACGAAGTCCGTGGCTGGAGCTGCTGAGCCGACGGTGAGGGCTTCGCATTTGGACCCGCTGGAGACGATGCACGTGGCCGCCGAGGAAGATGTGTTACAGTTGGAAAATGGGGCGGTGCTTTTCTCGGGCATGGAGTCGACGGAGCTGCTGACGACGTTGTTCAACCTCGGCTTGGTGTCGTTCGAGCCCATGGTGGATTTGAGCGTGAAGGTGCTGACGTCGCCGCTGATGAAGTCGCGCCTTCTGGCAGCGCCCGTCTTCTGGGCCGTGAAGAAGACCGCTTACTCGCACTTCTGCGCCGGAGAAGATGCCGACGAGGCAGCCGTGACCTTGAACAGGATGTGGCAGGTGGGCCTCAAGGGCATTCTCGACTACAGCCTCGAGGATGCCGAGAACAATCAAGCCTGCGATCAGAATTGCGCGGGCTTCTTGAGCACCATCCACCACACTCGCTCTTTGCCGCAAGGATCCGTGAGTTCTTTCTCCAGCTCTCGAGTCGTTTCAGCTGCTCGGATCGTCCCATCTCCTTCAGACGCCACGCTGGTTGGCGAGTCCAGCTTCATTCTTTTCTTAGTCCGCAAAGATCATTTTTCTCGTCCGGGTCCATCGCTCGATTCATTCACATTCTTCTCGTTTGGCCATCTGTGAGTTGATTGGCATGCAGAATGTTATTTTTTAAGTTCGACCATTTTTTCTGGAAATTTGAGCTTACGCTTTTCGTCGGCCATGCGAGAATTGATACTCTCGTAAAGCATAGTGCACTGACAGACTGGAGAGTATTCACTGAGATTTCTTCCTTTGAATTGTCGAATGTTCAAATGTGCGGAACTGCCGAGGGATGGTCGAGCAACTTGGATGTTCTGGGGCCTATGTGTGACCGGCTGACTGAATTCGGGTATTGTCGGTTGTGTCGAGCAGGTGAGCTTCGCCTGCGTGAAAATTTCCGCAATCTGTCCGATAAGTCTACTGGAGCGAGTGAGTGACCTGCTGCGATGGCAGCACAAGAGCGCGGATTTCCGGCTGCCGTGGAAGGCAGATGGGCTGCCAATCCTGTCTGCGGAGAGTCCGACTTACCAGACCCGAAAAGAGCCGGAGGCGCTGGGCTTGGAGGAGGAGAGGGACTTGCTGAGGGGCCAGGAGCGCTTGAGTCAATTATGCGAAGCCTGCGCTGCACGCAATCTGCCAATTCTGGTAGATGCCGAGTACTCATCAATCCAGCCTGCCATTGACTACATGACTTATGCGGCAGCATTCGCATTCAACAGGCCTGGGACGCCTCCCATCGTGTACAATACCCTACAGGCCTATCTGAAGGACGCCCCTTCGCGACTGGCTCTGGCCTTGGCCGAATCCTCCAGACGCAATGCCTCTCTTGCTCTGAAAATTGTCCGAGGAGCTTACATCACCAGAGAAAAGGCTTTGGCTGCTTCGGTACAAGCGCCTTCCCCCATCCACAACAGGATCCAGGACACCCACAGCTGCTACAATTCGTGCGCTTCCATTATGCTGGATCGCATCGCATCCAACGAACCTGCAGCTCTCATGCTTGCTACTCACAACGCCGATTCTGGTACGTCCTTTGACCTTGGAGGCTCAGGTGGAAGACTTCACAGTACTCTTTCCCAGCAAAGCAATTAATTATGATTCGATCTAGTTTGGTCTGAATTGTGAACAACCCAAACTCTTGGTTCGTTTCCGTGCCCTGCTGTAATGCACACAGGGCGTGTGTTATCTGACCAGAGAATGCATCGCTGGGCGTCCTAATTTCCATTCGGATCGTCGCTGCTAATTAAATCCCACTATCTTTATCACTTGTCGACTTGAAACTCACTCAGTTAGTGTACATGTACTGTAGTAGTTGCTCGGAAACATTATGCCGACACCGATTTGTTTGTGGTGCTGCGCATCAGGGAGGTTTGCAGCGAAGAAAGTAATAGAACTGGGATTGGACAAGAAAGATCCACGAGTGCAATTCGCCCAATTGAAGGGCATGTCTGATAGTCTGTCACTGGCCTTGGCACGAGGAGGGTTCAACGTAAGTAAGTACTTGCCTTTCGGCCCAGTAGCGCATGTCATCCCGTATCTTCTAAGGAGAGCTGAAGAAAACCGTGGGCTTCTCGGCAATACGAAGGCTGATCGACGGCGCGTAAGGTATGCTGGTGAATGCTTGCTACCGGCTAGAGTGAGAAAAAACATGAGCAGCTCGTTCTTGTTGACAGGCCATTTTTTGATATTGAAAGCATTGAATTATGCAAAACAAAGACAACGAAGCAAAGAGTAGATCAACGGAAGCCATTTTCTGGCTTCCTGCTGTCAATGACTAGCTCTGAAGTCCTCAGAGAGATTTTTCTGGTCGGTCCAGGATTTTGATTCTGCTTCTGAGGAGAATTTTCGACCGTAGCAATGGGACTTAGCTCTTAGGTCTTGCTGTTATTCCCAACAGTTGCTGAAGGAGATGAGGATGATCTTTTCGACACTGAAAGCTGATGAGGACACTTTCAAAACAGGGTGGAGATTTTGCGCAGACTCGCCTCCGCTGCTGGTTTGAAGGAGGCATCTCCTGACAACAGCAGATCAACATGATCATGATTTGAAACTTGATTACATCCAAATTGAGTCTCGAGCATTGACGACAGCCGGAACCATCTCCGATGCTCAAAGGTACAGTACTGTCCGACACGCACTCCTTCTGGAGGGTCACAAGGACGCCACTGCTGTCAGAGGTTGTTCAGGTAAGACTATAAATAGTGACTTCAGATCACACCTTTTGTACAATCTCCTGTAAAGAACATCAGGGCAGGCTTGCTTTGCTGGGACATGAGCCAGCAAATTCGACGAATTAGCGCGTCGACACAGCTCTTTCATGCCAACTGGTAGGCGTCTATGCATATACGCTGCTCGGCAATGTAAATAATTCGGTGGGATCATACGGATTGTTGATAGAAACTGAAAGGATTGAGAAAGGAATGCCTTTCTTTGTAAAGATTAGATCGGACAAAATAGAAGCGTGTTTGATAAACAGAAGGCTACCCGTGCATTGTACATTTGAAAATGGAGGCGAACTGCGTGGGTGGGCCGATGCGGAATGGTTAGCAGTGAAACCTTTGCCTACTATGACCGTAATGAATAAACTGCCCGCGAAGAGACAAAGTCGAACAATTGCTCTGCCTGAAGGGAATAACGTGTCACGCACCGTGTGATCATTTCAAGCTGGGTGATTTTCTTCCTGCATGGGTCTTGCTCTTTTAAATCAAGAAATCTTATGAGTGCACTCCTCAAATCGATGCAGTGGGGAAGATTAAATGCAATTGGGGGCTGGTATAAAACTGTAGGATGCGCTCTTCACCCTTGTATGCACGATGTTCATTACATGTTATCTTGCGGAATCGGACGAGATGATACTTTCGATGCCGTTTACTAAATGCATTCATGAACGATGGAGAGCTATCGGAAGTTAAGCCGTTCAGTGACTGTCGCGATAGATTCACCCACATGATCGTTATCGGAGCGAGTATTCTGCTAAATCTGGAGGACATATGTCGGGGAGAAGAAGATTCAAAGTTCATGCCCATCTCACTCATGAATTATTGCTCAGATTTCAGCTATCAAAAGAATCAACCACAGTATACTATTCCGGAAGAAACTTTTTAGGATAGTTCCATCGACTTTTTGTGCACAGTGGTGTTGAATATGTTACCATTAACAACACGACATCCAGCTTTTGCTTTCAAGGCGAAAGCGACTATGAATTGCTCCGAATGAAGCATCCACGAAATCTAACTAACTAGCCTTCCATCTTCACAACACTGTATGCTGGATACGTTCATCGGCGCAGGCTCTACCACGATGTACATGTCCTCTTGGCTCAACGTACGCTATGTTTTTGGGACGGCTCGACGACCATAGATGGAAATAAAAAGTCGTGGTTTCCGGAAGAAAAAAATTGCACCCGTCGCCGGAATGTATGGCGTTTCCGTTTCAACTTTGTCAGGCCAGCATATATACTGTACTGTTGAGGAGGAAGCTTTGCCTGTTTTGTTGAGACTTTTGAGTTGTGATTAGATCTAGACTTGTGAACAACATCACCCATCATCAATTTCACAACCAATATAATTCTGAGCACTGCAATATTGATTGTAGACTACGTTACTCCCGATTCTGAAATGATTAAAGTTACCGAATCAGCCTTGTTCCATCTCATTTGCAATTGAAAATAACGTCACAGCCAGTGTGTTTTATTTACAGAATCTTCCAATAACCAGCGAACTTAAACACGGTCTTACAAGAAGGAAGACAATGTCCCATGCACTCAAGTCGCAAGATCGCCACTTGTCAAGACATTGGCAATTGCATGTTCAGTCCATGCAGCTGACTTGATTCACTGCTGGAATGGGCTGGGCTGGAATGTCAGGGCAAATGCATATATATCGATTCAGGGCCGGGCGGTCAGGGGAACAAGCAGGTACCTCGTGCTTTGATTCAAATAGCTCGCACAAAAGCATGAATACTGTTACAGGTTTAAACTGCTCTTCTGTTTTCTTCGATTGGTAGTACTTCAGTGAGCGCAGCAGCACATAATTACTCGTTTGAGGTATTCGTTTGAGATAAAGAGTGGGGCTCCTACGCCATCTATGTCATCTCTGATCCAGAGAATGGATGCGGCTGCGGCACCGACCCCAAGCATGAACAATGTAACCTCACAATGTCGTCCAAGAGGACGACGCGTTCCCCTCCCGAGCAGTGACAACAACGCTGGCAACAAATAAACGCTACATCCTTCACTATGGTTTTCAGAAGAGTAAGAGGCTGGGAGTGCTTGGTGGTGGGTCCAGACTCGACTGCTCTCCGCACGAACACCCTCTTGCATTTTGCCATTTGCATTTGCCACCTAACCCATTGTCACCACTTATTGTACATAATTCGCGTATGTAGGAATAGACACAGCGGTAATAGCCTTTTGTGTAGTCAGACATTCGTCCGCCGTTAGGTTGCCTCGTGCTCAATGGTTGAAGTTCAAATTACAGTTACTATTGTGGGATTCTTTACTTCGACAGTGTGTATACTGTGGCAAATCAAACAATCTCCTAGAATATTCAAGTCTATTTAATTTTTGTTATGATATGGTTATCGGAATAATGTATTGTTGATTTATTTATTTTTTACAAGATTTATTCTAGCAATCATATGACACATAATGATGAAAATTGTGGTTTTTAAAACTTTCATGAGATGTTTTGAAAAGTTATGATTTACGTTAGCTTCATTAAGAGCCTGCAAAGAATTGCTTTAGTGAAGGTTGTGGTGAAGATCTGAAACTAGAATGATAAAAAACATTGATAGAATTTGATCGAATGAGATATAGCTCACTATTGTCTTGTGGCTTAGAATCATGATAGGCTTTACTCTGTTTCAAACGCAAGTATCAAACTTGAAGATTTGGTTGTTTCTAAGCTTTTATGTACAATTAGGAGCAACAGGCTATACCAGTATCACATCGAGTGTGTTTGTATTAATCTTCACACCTTAAATTATACACTATTATATTGGCTAAAACCAAGTTTTACATATGCTATACATGATGTAAAGATTATCCGCAGATCCAGCATGTTTTCGTAATTTTGATAAAACTACATTGTCACAAGTAGAATATAAATTAAAAGGTATATGAAAAACTCTATCAATTTTATCCATGTGAATATGTGTCAAACATAATTTCCAAATAATTATTTTGTTTCCACTGGTAATTCAACTTTGAGTAATTGAAGATTGTTACCTCAAAATCAATACAAAGTAGTTTATTGGAAAATTCTTCACTATCTTAATTTTTCTTTGAATACTGAGAATTAAATACAATTAGTTTCAAATATTATTAACCATATGAGTAGATTTTTAATTGGATAGAACTGAGTTCTTTGCGTTATTTTTGTTTAACCTTATGATGAATCTATATTCATTTAATGTATGTACTTCTAACAATGTTGATGTTTTACCATTTGCATTGTTGATAGTTCAATGTGTGCAGCTAGCAATATAGATATTTTGAAATTTTAAATTTTTTAAGTTTTATAAGAAAAAAAATACAAATTTCAGTACATTATAGACATGTTTGTAATGATTACAAACATGTGATAGAAGTTTCAAATTTGTAATCATTGCAAATATGTATTTAATATATCAATTTTCATTTTTTTAATTCCTAGCATGTTTTAAACTTAGTGATATATATTAACACCAAAATCCAACTGCCAAAAAGCACGTACATCCAATGTGCTAGCAATTTAAAACATGACATGAGTTTGCATTGTTTGTCATTTTAGTAGATTGTAAGGTTCTTGTTAGTAGGTGTATGACTTTTCATGAATCCAAACTGTTGAAAGAGTGTGTGTGTCTTTCAATGAACCTATTTCATTGAAAGAGAGTGGGTCTGACTGACAAGTGAAAATCTCCGCTCACAATTATGGATGTGGCGGAGTTTGATCATTATGTGATTAATGATCAAGATGATCACTGTTCAGGTCATGTTTAGTAACCTGAAGCACAACGACATCATGAAATTTTTCAAACAATAGTGTTTGATCAATTGATTGATGATGAAGTAACCACAATGTGATGTTTTGTCATGATCGCTTGAAGCCTAAAGATTTTAGCGCCTTTAAGAGCATGTGTTGATGCAAAAGTGACATCATACAATTTTTCCAAAATTGTCAAGAACAAAAGTACAAATCTAGAGTTAGTTATGAAAGTCATGTTAGACCTCGTGATGAATGATATTTTGACGTTTGATAATAAAGGTGTAAATGCAATTTATACATTATCACACAATAGAGATAAGACATTGTAAAGATGATCATGGACTTCAAGAAAGAGAGAAAAAAATTGAAAGCAATATGTTGGTGGAAACTTAACATTTCTAGAAGCTTTGTATCTTGTCTTGGCAGTGTTATAACAAAACATTTGGGAATCCAATACTAAATTTGCTCGTTGTGTATCATACTCCTTGCAAGTTTAGTTGAGACTAACGTGATTAGAATCGTGAGCATAATTGATGGAATCTGTTGCGGAGGACTACTTGCACGCCACGGGATAAGGTGTTGGTGTTGGAGAGCCATACAATCGGCGGAGGAGCAGCGTATTTGTTTGAAATTGAAGTTTTACACTTTTACTTGTATGGTTGCACAGTTTTTTTGAATTTCAAGAACACTTAAGAATTTTCTTTCTAAATCATATTAATAATTTGCGCTTGGATGTATCTTCCTTCGCCATCTATAAAGACATTGAATTTTTTTATACAACAATCTAGAATTGATACATGGATGTCTGAGCATTTGTTTTCTATAGAGCATTCACACATTATTGCTAAACATGGAAATTAAAGCTATAACTTCGAGGAAAAAAAATTTAGAAGAAATTTCTATGTTTTGAATTTAAAAAGTGAACTTATTCAGATTTGAAATTAGGACTAAATCCATAATTGGAAGTTTTTTATGACGGCTGAAAAAGTTAACACAACGTTAGGAGTAATTCTAAACTTCCTCATTACTGTGTACTTCAAATTGGATCTTTTAAGCCTAAGCTTTTTTTTCAAATAATAAACAAGAAGAATAAAAATATCTCACCAATTCTTGTAATAATGAAACTAAGCGATTAACATGAACCAAAACCCCAATATGAACATGGACCAAAACCACAAACACTGAAAATATTTGGACAAAAAAGTAGTATAGATTAGTTGAATATAGTCACAACATTATGAAATTTTCTGGTTGGCCAAGCATCATAAAAAAATAAACTTAAAAAAAATATTTAGAGCATAAATTTAATAATATGAACATATTTTCAATAAATATTTACATAAAACTATCACTTGACTTTGAGAAAAAAAATGAATAAGTTTATAGAGTTTGTTGAAATCAGCATATGAACCAAAACTAGCTTTTAGTCAATGAATGGCAAAACTTGATGGGCGAACCCATCAAGTTTAAAATGATCTGTATGTGAATCATATGTCTATATCAAAATGTTGAATTATATGATATTTAATCTTATTATTAATCTAGTAATATACATGATAGAAATTTTTATTTTTTAAACATAATTGATTTGACTACAAAAAATGCAAGAAACTATTTAAATGTAAATTTAAGATCAAGATTAACATAAATTTAAAAATCATTAGGTTGAATTTTTAATAATGTTTTGAAACATACAAATTTATTTTTTGAAACAAGAC